CAGGACCAGGTTATCTGAGGAGCCGTCTCACCCATTATATCAGCCTGCGCCACTCGGTCCGGCAGAAGGGGCATGTTGCAGACCCCACCCGTCAAGGAATTTCGACTGGTGGGATCTATGAAGAGGGCCTTTTCTGCGGTGGTCCCCACTCTGTGGAACAACCCACCTCCCGAGGTGCAGTGTGCCCCCCTCACGGCCTTCAGGAAAAATGTGAAATCCTGGCTATGCCAGAAGGCCTGGGGGCCAGATGGGGGCTCGCAGCAGTGGAAGTGGCTTGTGGGGTAATTGATTTTGCCCCCCCATCATTTTGAATGTTTTTAGTATTTATGTATACGGTTTGTTTTATAGTCTGACTTTTAATCGATTAATTAATTTTAATTATTTATGTGGCATTACTTTTGTTCATGGGTTTTTGGTTTTAATTGTGAGCCGCCCAGAGTCATCCACTGGGGGAGATGGGCTGCGTACAAATGAAATAAATAAATAAATAAACAAACATACATACATACATACTAGAAATAATACAGGTTCAGGCAGATGTCTGTGAAATACTGATTCTGTAATTAAGCCCTATTTCTAAATTAAGTCATAGTTTGAATGTTTTCTATTACGTAAGCCAATGAGAATCAAACTGATTGTTGGGATGGAAATGAAATAAATAAGTAGTTCTTATTAAATGTTTGCCTTTAGTGTCCTCATTCATTTTCAAAAACCTATTTCTTTGTTCTTCATTATATACAGAAACATGTGATACGAAAGAATCTAAGAACTATTTTGAAAATAAACTATAGTACCAATACCACCAGTATCAGTACCAATTCACTAAAAGATGCAGTATCCAAATAAATAACTTGCTTAAAACATTACTCACAATTTTTACAATAATCAAAGACAAGGATCCTAGAACCAATATCCTGAATGTGCAGAAGGTAAATTAAATCTTGCAGTTCGCCAAGCATCTGCTTTTTAGATACTAGTGTGAACACTACACCTAACAGAAATTACTATCTTCAATGAGATTAGTTCAGTTGCAATACTAGAAACATTTAACAATTTTTAACAAAATGGTAACTTTTTCTATGAGAACTTTACAGTTTCCGTTAAACGAAGTAATACTTTTAGCAAAGAGTGACTAAAAAATTGATTTATGAGAGACTTTCTAAAAGGTACCTTTTTATAGGTAGTCCTTATTTAGCGACCAAAATTGGAACTGGCAACTCAGTTGCTAAGCAAAGCAGCCCCTAATGAAACCCCAACTATGCTTATGATCTTAGCTTTCCTTTGCTTTACAGACCTGCAAAGGTTGTAAATGTGAGAACTGGTTGTAAAGTTACTTTTCCATCACTGTCATAACTGCAGCCACTAAATGAGGACTACCTGTGCTACCACTGTAGGAGTACTGTAAAATAGTATCATTGACTCAATTTATGAATAGAGAAGAAATATTTGTTACCCAATTTTAAAACCACCTCATGTTGATCCAATTTAAGGGGGATTTGTAACCATTTCCCTTTCTTTTCCTATAAACGGTAACCAAAATAAAAAACAGAAGGCAATGGTGCTTATCAATGAAAGTCATTTCAATATTGCTATAAGAGGCAGAAGAGACTACATCCCTGCAGCTCCTCCTACACCATCAAAATCTGCTTTGGATCTTGCAGGTATTGGAGGTTGTGGGAAGAAAAGGGAATCTGAACATGCACTTCTGTTCACTCTGGGTGGAATCCAGTGTGTATCCAGATGTATCATTAAGGCTAAAATTTTAATTTATCAATACACTTATCAAATTTGAGAGCTGTTAAGAAAAATGTTTTATGTACCTTATATATGCATTTTGACATGACAAAATAAAGTGCACCTTTTCTCACCAATTTTCTCACTTTTTCACATTGTAAGGGATGTTTCTATATACAGACAGGACTGCAAATAAGTTCACTTTAATATTTGGAAAGAATTTAGGGTAATGAATTCTGATAACATTCAATATGAACCAGGCTAGTGCAGAGAAGAATAGAAAAACATGATACAAGCAAGAGCACCAGACACTTCTTGAATCATTGTAATTATGGCCATATACAACCTATTCACTTGCTTCAAAAATCCTGCAAAATGCCACCAGCATTCACCCACAGAGAGATGAGTTCATGAACCTGGATGCCTTCTAAACTGAAGAAGAAATAAGCTGAGCAAAAAGTATGTTTCTACTAAGCTGCAACAAATCTTGCTTATAAATAACAAAAACATGTATATAGACACAAACTCACCTAGGTATTTATAGCATGTTAATCACTCAAATTATTTTAATACATTAAGTTGCATGGTCCCATGTTTAGAAATGATTCTCAGAAGTTCCACTGCATTAATAAAACTTTGTACAGGAATTAGATTTTAGCAGCCGTAATGTCTAGAGAACCATTATTATCCACCTTTTCAAATATTTTTATTTACAGTATTGGATACCCAATTTAGTAAAAGTTCAGATTTTTAAGTTCTTAACTCTTTAATGTCTGATTCCTGCTTTCACAGAGTCTAAATGAAGAGCACAGCATAAAACCGAACATTCAGTGGCCTCCTTGACTTAATTTTCATCCTGAATGAAACAACTATTTCTGTTTCTTCAATGAATGAAAACAGAAGTTCTATTTATTGCTGTTCTATTTCTTAATATTTTTTTTAAAAAATTAGTTGTTGTCTTTTATCCACTGTTCAATCCACTCTATAATTTGATCTAAATTCCGCTCCATATCTTCTGGAGTATTACTGGACAGCTGATGTACAATTTCTTCTTTATAGGATGACATGGCCTCTTCATAAATTGTCTGAAAGATTTCACACTGAATATTGTCTTGAAGCTTTTTTCCTTTGTATCCTCTAGAAAAATATAAAAATGACATAAAGCATTTAGATAATTTAGGTAAAAATACTGAAGTTTGATATTATGCACTAATAAGAGGGTTTGCTTTAAGCTGGATCTTAACCATATTTAGTTTTGCATCGCCAACCTACCTGTTTTCTAATCTGTCATACAGAAAAGAATTTTCAGTGCGAAGCACAAATACTATGTTAAACCAACGTTCAGGAAAGAAGTCACAGCTGTGATAATCAACTATGACACCTCCATCCTTCATCTTGTCTTCCATTTCATCAATAACCTATATAGAAAACAACGCAAAGAAAACTTAAGAATGGATTCTTAGCTACAAAAACAGAATGCATAATTATATTCATCTTTCAGCTTACACTCACCCTGTCTTCATCTAATATTGGGCATTCATATTCTTCATCAAACCCTTCATATAGTTCCCCTGCATAATTAAAAAAATTGAAGTCCAAGATTATTAAATCATAAAAAGCTATTATCATTATTTATTTAGACAGCTTATTCTCAGAAATCTTCATGCTACTTCATCAAATGAGTGTTCTGGAAATAAACTTCACTGAATGATATAAGGTTCACTTCATATGTATTTTATGCCATGAGTATGCTCGAGATCAGAAGATCAGATACAGAAGATCCTTCCCCATCTATTAGATAGCATCCACTTGGTTTTTGGAAAAAGAGTTAATAATAATTTCTTCAGTTTGGTTGTTTCCACTAATTTTAATGGTGTTTTACAGTTGATTTTCATATTTTGTGTTTATCTACTTTGTTATACAGTACTCCAATTTGGAGATGCTTCTGGAATGTCAATATTATTGAAACATATAGTTAAAAGTAATT